CCTGAGGGCGCGCGGCGGGGGCCGCCTCCCCGCTCGGCCGTTCCGCCCTTTTATTGCCCGCACTCGCGCAGACGCTCTAATCAAATAACCCTTTCCTTGATGCTTAGCGGGCCTTCGAACCCGTTCCCTTATTCAACCACACACCGGCTACCTCAGTCAGTCACGACAAGTATAGTTACAGGTCACTGCATTGCTGTTGCCCTGAGAGGGAATGGCAGTAGTCAGATCTCCAGAATTTGCCTTCCCAAAACGTGGCAACAGAATCTGGTTTCCATCTCTCTATTTTTTTCCTAATATCTCAATTTAGCATCTTAAACAAAAGCCACAAAACTGATTTAACTCTGGGGTTGATCTAAGAAGGTATGTTTGTAGATATGTAGATACATATATCAGTTATTTTTAACTCTGTTTCCATATGTTCAGGTCTGGCTGCTACTGCCTACTGTAAAGTCACTTTCAGATTCATTTTGCTGTTAGAGCCAACTGATACTTTGCAGTTTCAGGCTATTAGAGGCACATTACCTGACATATTTCCAAATATTAGACCTAATCTCTATGACATTTCAGGAGAGCAGAAGTTGTCAAGATCTTTTAAGACTGCTATTATTATGTAATATATTAGTAGTGGAGTGCCGGGGTTCTCAGACATTACTCCTGTTCTTCCTACTGCCCTGGCTTGGTCCCTCATTTCTGGCTGGTGTTAGGATACGTTCAGTCTTGAAAGGAAATTCTGAAATGTGGCTGTGGCCCAATCCAGCTGATGTTCTGCTGCAGGAGTCTGTCACTGCTGGAAACTTCAAATCCCTCTTTTTCACACGTAAACATTTACTGCTGTAGAAATAAGCCATGCAGTTCGTCATATGAGCAAAATAGAAGTTCCAGTTTCTTTCTGGCTGAAGCAGAACAACCTTGTCTTATTTAAGCAAAAAGAAAGAAAGAAAGAAAAAAAAAACACAAAATGACTTTTCTTCTTTTTTTTTTTCTTTCAGCTAAGACTGTGCATCATAAGAACATAAGGATCAATTACAGAGGAGGGGGGAAAAAGGCAGAACGGGATTAGGGCTGAGGTTATTGGGGCTAAAAGTTCAATTGCAGAACTCCAGGACTGTGCCAGGAATGACTTGAGAGTCATGGGGTCTCCTAGAAAGTCTTTACGGGAGAAAAATTCCAGCTTTCTGCAGTGTTAGCAAGGCTGGGCATTGGATGCTCTTCTTGTACCTGACAAATCTGATTTTGACTTGTACCACTTCACTATAATAAACTAGTTTTAGGGAGAAAAGGACTTTGGATGTTTCAGCTCTCAACTTGAATTGATAATAAGCCATCCTCCTATGGTTCATTTTCTATGTGGAGTTCTGTAGTTAGAAGCTCTTTTGGAAAGTTGGCTATTCAGAGAGAAGTCTGCTTTTCTGGGCTATAGCTTCTGTGAGTTTTTTTATCTCTTCTCTTCTCTTCTCTTCTCTTCTCTTCTCTTCTCTTCTCTTCTCTTCTCTTCTCTTCTCTTCTCTTCTCTTCTCTTCTTTTTTTTCAGAGAGAAGTCTGCTTTTCTGGGCTATAGCTTCTGTGAGTTTTTTATCTTTTCTCTTTTCTTTTTTCAGGCAAGGGCATTTGTGTGCAAGATTTTAATTTGTAATGAGTGAGTTTGCATCTGCTGGTACAGGTATTTGCTGAGGAAGTAAGTTGTTAGAAATAGGGGATGGAGCCTTCAAGGGAAGAAGAAAGGCTGAGGGCTGCCTAAATCCTACTAAGACAAGCAGTAGGTGCCTTGTCTAAATAACAATCTGAGTGCAAATCAGGCACTCTAAACCAAAACATCTGATTTGCATTGGCAAGACTGTTTGCTGATATTTCCGTCTAAGGCTTCTGAACAGAGCTGGCTAAAGGGCAGTCTTCATCTGAATGCAGTTGATCACCCTTATCTCCCATATCAAGGTACAGCTTCCAGAAACTGTAAATCTCAGTATGCAAAGCTGCTCGGTTTGAATGGAATGAACTAGGTAGATTGCATATCTGGGTTGCAAATGAAGGTAGCTGCACTGCTTTCTACTTTCCTTTTTAAAGTCACTGCATCCCTGCTGGCAGAAGAGTGGCGAGCCTGTTTTAATGGAGATTTGTTTGTCTCTGCCAAAGGTCGGATGGTACAACGCTGTTCTCCAGCCTGCCTTCCACCTCCCTTACCCAGATGACACGCTGGCCTTCGTTGTCCTGAGCACGCCTTCAATGTTTGACAAAGCCCTTAAGCCTTTTGTGAACAAAGAACGGTTAAAAATAATCAGGGATCCCGTGGACCAGTGTGTTTCTCATCATTTATCATTTGTGAAGGAGGTAAGAGCCTTGAAATACTGTCTCCTTTTTCTATTGTGAAATATATCCAGGTGGTTTGAGCAGGAGACAGAGCCCTCCCAGTTCTTGCTCTTGCTCTTCAAAAGAGTAAAAACATTATTCATGGTGCTAAATTCTTACTAAGAGCATCAGCAGGCTGCTGACCTGCATATTCTATCCCTTTGTCATTATAGCCTATATGTGTGTAAGGCACTTTACAGTCAGAGTTTGAAAAACCAAGGCCACAGGATTACTGGTAAAAGATTTTGGGAGCAGGATGTGGAAATCTGCAGGCTTACGGATTGCTAATATTCAGCACTTTTGTGGTGGCAAATCTTTTTTCCCTAAATCTGAGCTGATGTTTTTCTCTCCACTCCAGAAATTCCCTGACCAGAAGGTGGATATTATCTATGATTACGAGATTCTGCCAAACCGAAAGCCCAAGTTTTTGGCACAGACAGCTGCCCATGTTGCGGGAGCAGCATATTACTACCAGAGGAAGGACGTGAAGCTTGATCCTTGGGGGAAAAAGGTGAGATGAAAACACAACCTGTGAATCATTGAAGAGCCATCAAATTGTAATCACTGAATTATGCAAATGTTGTTTATTCACTAGTCCTTCCTTCAGGGAAGTAAGAAGTCTCCATCACAAATAGCTATATAAACGGTTTAGACAGAATTGAGAAGCTTCCAAGATACTTTAGGGTGGTAGAGAAAAGAGTGAATGGAGAAAAGTATCTCAATCTATTAACTTACTAGGTAAGGGAATAAACGTCAAAGGAAAAGAAGACCTGCTTACATATAGAACCCAGTCCGTGCTGTTGTTTATTTCTGTGTTGTATTTTCAGAGAAACTTTTCCCCACATTACAGCGTGGCCTGTGTATGGGCACAGGAGAATGAGAATCAAATGCAATGCTTTGAGCCACACAGTGAGGAAAGGACTTTCCTTCCTTGCCTCTAGAACTCTCCACTATGGACTATGGGTGTGAGAAATTGCATCAAAACTCAGTGTGATGGTTTGATCTCTCAGCATTGCCAAAGACAAAATGAGATGTCCAAGCCCCTGTCTTTTGTCCTTCCAGAAGATATATGGCGTATGTATCCATCCCAAGTATGGCGGCTGGTTTGCTATTCGGGCTCTCCTCGTGTTCCCAGATATTCAAGTACCACTCCTGGAACAATCTGCCCCTATTGACTGTGTGAGCACAGAAGAGAAAAGAATTGAATTGCT